CTCTATAAAATGAGATGGAAAATCTCTACAAGTCTTTAATGAGATTCGTTTCATTCTTTGAAATGCAAATGAATTCATTTTATCATAATAAGTAAAGATGAAATTATCACAATATTCTATTTCTAATATTTCCAGATTCTTAAACAAAGCCAGATCATAAAGTTGGAAAGGAGATGGATTAAATATAATTGAACTGATTTGAATATGTACTAAGGTATCTACATGCATTAATGTACTCTGCCAAAGAATCGGAAAATCATCTTCTGATGATCCGATCAAAATAACTTTTAAATTGCGTTGGCTTTCAATGAATTTTGACATATTATCGATCGTGGAACCCATAATTTCATCTGTGCTTAACCAAATGTCTAAATTTTGAACTTTTTTAGAAATTTCCAAAGCAGATTCTAAAATTTCCGGTAAACATCCAACATTTCTATATGTTCTACAGTTGAATATTTCAAGTTGTGATAGGCTTTTCTTGGCGCCAGGAAGAGCAAAGACATTTATGCTATGTTCACAATCAATAGTAATTCCTTTTATTGTAGGTGAGGAAGATACAAAAAGTCGACATAACAACTCTTGTATTTTGTGAGATACATTCGATTGACTCTCATAGTCAGGAAATTTTTCTGTAGCCCAACATCTAGCGCTGTAAGAAATAATTGAATCATTGATATACCGTAAAAAACTTGGGTAGTCAAAAGTTGCAGCTTTTAAAGAGATAATTGATTCAACACCAATTTCATTTCGCATATCTTGAGGTAAGCATTTAAGATAAGTATCTATTATTTTTATATTTTGATCTTTTTTATTACAAGAATCAAAAGGATTTCGCCATAATTCTGAGATCATCGAAAGACACCAATGACGATTAATCAAGATGAAGACATATTGTGACTTTAAATCATCTTCCAATTCTTTGAATATTGATTTAAGGCAAAGGTCTGGAAGAAATGCTGCCATATCAAATTTCGATTCGTATTGTTACAAGGTCTTTGTGCGTATATAAATTCCTGTATTTAATAAGGTGAACCCGTTTTATCGGAATAATTGGATTTACGTCTAGATATTTATAGTTTACAACAAAGTATTGTAAATGGTTTTATTTAAAATGGTATGTTATTAATATATATATATATATATATATATATATTTTCTTGGAGACTTCTCGGATTATATATATACAATTATGTGTATTTTTGATCTGTCTAATGGACTTGTTCTACTTGATCTAGAACAATAACATTTAACTAATACATAAAAAAAAAAAATTTTTTTTTTCTTTTTTATGACAACTCACCTAAAAAAAGAAGAAAATTTTTTTTTTTGAATTGATCTTGTTAGTGTCACGCTGTTATTATATCACAAAATTGATCTTACCCTAAAAACCCTGCGTCGTAGATCACTGGTCTTTTTTGAGAAGCCTTATGCTACACGATGGGAATTTTATTATAATCACATGGTAACACTATTTATTACCCGTTATTATTATTATTACCAATGAACAAGTAAATTTCAGTTAACGTTAATGTCGTTAGCACAAAGGAATACGTAGTACCGGTAATATATTTTTACAAAATTTGACTGGTCGTACACGGCACTTACACATATATCATGAATCTGATTTTTTATTAAATCCGCATCAAAAGATGCAATTTTGTCATCAAATCACATAGACGCTTACAATTGGGATCTTTGCTATCAAAACGAGGCTATGTTGATTTTGTGAATAAAAATTAAATTTGCCAGCCAACTAGTTATCCAATTTGAATGAAAATTTTTTTTAATTTGTAGATTCTATCGAGATTTACAAAATAAAAAAAAGTTTATTCAAATTGGATTACTTGATAACTGGCAAATTTAATTTCTATTCACAAATCAACATAGCCTCGGAGGGTCATTTTGATAGCAAAGATCCCAATTATTGAATGCAGTATGCGATGCGTAGGATGTGCCATACATATATTACTCTCTCTTGTATAGAATGTCGAAATTGTATACGTATACTAGGTGTTTCACCATTGTCTGAGTTCTGTGGAACAGTCGACGAATAATTCGGAAAGCATTACATCATGATTCATCATGGGTTTTAATAAAAATATAGAAATAGTTGTGTATTTTGAAATATATAGTATAGTGTACATATAACTTACTAAGAAACTTATATATATAATTTATTGTAAAACCATTGACACATGGTCTTGCATAGTTTGAGCGCCCAAAATCGTGATCTGATCATCACATTTTGAACAGATGCCTGTTTGATATTTGCCACTCTTTGTCTTCAGCCTCCATCTGTTTTTATTAATAGCTTCAAATGCATGGTCTCAAGAACTTTCCATCTTAATGACATTGTCGTTTATCAGTAATCAGATCACATATTCTGGGCCTGCTTGTATTTTATGCATAAACTCTATCATAGACCTGCATGGATACTATTTTCACCAAAATATAGGCTTGAAATGTAGCTAGGTCGGAATTAAGCAATACTATACTAACAGTCACACGACTTTGTCACGCGGATCAGGGGGTGGTGAAATTTGAGTGATTGACATCCATATCAGACGTATGTAAGGTTGTTACGTATTATGTGAATAATGTAGCAAGTTTATTATATATATACCTGCTATATGCTTTTTTGAATATAAAATTACAGCTCCAAATGTCTTTAATAATACTGGCTAAACTTTTATAACGTGATACAATAATTATACTAGGGAAATTGTTATACTGATTGCAGATCATCACAGGAACCGTCAATCCTCAACGAACATTGCGTGAACGTGCATTCAAGTTTATTGCACGGGTCTTATGTGATAACCCGTGCTTTTTTCATTCACTTATTGGCACGAGATTGTTACGTCAGACACCGTGCAATAACTATAAATAGTATATATATATATATATATTATATTATTTTGCAACTTTAAAAGAAAATGTAACTGTCTTTGGGCTGCCGTCAATAGAAATCAAGCGGATTGACATTTTAAAAAAAACTAATCTCATACCTTTCACAACTTATATCTCGATAAATTTTGAGGCTATCTTGATGAATTACTGTAATATCCAAAAAAAGGTCTATATCTTAGGCTTTCTTTTGAATATTACTGTATTAATTCGTCAAGATAGCCTCAATTTATTGAGGTATACTGTAGGTTACGAAATTAAGAGCTAATTTCTTTTAAAATAACAATTTTCTTGATTCCTATTGATGGCAGTTTATTTGTTTATAGTTCTAATATATATGTTGTAAGTGTTGATTTTATCATAT